GGAGAAAAAGACTTTAAAAAAATAAACAGAGACCTGTGGAACAATTTAAAAAAAAAAAAAAAGGAGTATTTGTGTCATTGGAGTCTAGGAGAGGAGGGAGAGTCATGAGGCTGAAAAAGTATTCAGAGAAATAATGGCTGAAATATTCCTAAATTTGGTGAAAGGCCAGCTTTTTTTTTTAATGAACTTAGGATGGAATGGACTAGAAAACAGTGGAGTACCTAACACTTGGCCAAGGTTATTCTTATTTCATGAAAATTTATGCATGTGTGTATATTTGCGCATGCTCAACCCTTGGTTGAAGGTAGGCCAGAATAAATAGTGCCCCCAGGAGTAGCCTTCAACTAATGCTGGACAGAGGTTGGTAGACCAGTATCCCAGCTTTTGTATAGTTGTAGCTTGCTCATTAATGTACTCTGTACTGGCTTTCATCCCTTCTGTTTCACTTCCGCACTCTCCTTCACGTGTTTCTTGGGATAACTTCTCAGGCTATATGGACTCATCCTAACCTGAGACACTGTGTCTTTATGGGCAAGATTGCACATTGATACTTATAATCATAGGGAGGTGATACTTCTGATAATAGATGACACCGAGAGTCTAAAGCTAGCCCCAAGGGAATAAAGCAGTAACCAGTTGTTGTGGAGTCATTTGTAACTTATGGCAACCTTATTATATGTCAGAGTAGAACTGTGCTCCATAGGGTTTTCAGTGGCTGATTTTTTAGAAGTAAATCGCCTGGCCTTTCTTCCAAACTGTGTCTGGGTAGGCTCAAACCGCCAACCTTTCATTTAGCAGCTGTCTTAGTTTCTTAGTGCTGCTATAACAAAAATGCCAGAAGTGGGTGGCTGTAATGAACAGAAATTTATTTTCTCACAGATTGGAGACTAGATGTCCAAATTCAGGGCACTGGCTCTAGGGGAAGGCTCTCTCTGTTGTCTCTGGGGGAAGATCTCTTTCAGTTACTGTAAACCTGACATTCCTTGACTCCTTGGAAATCCAAGAGGCATGTATCTTCCCCTCCGTTTGTGCTTGATTGCTCTGTGTCTAATCTGCTCTTTTTATATCTCAAAAGTGAGTAGGTTTACACCCCAACAAGGCTAACATTAATCCAAAAAACACAAAATAATAAATGTTGGTTGTGGAGAGTCTGGAACACTTATACACTGTTGGTGGGAATGTAGAATGGTACAGCCACTTTAGAAATTGATTTGGCGCTTCCTTAACAAGCTAGAAAGAGAAGTACCATACAGTCCAGCAATCCCATCCCTTGGAATATATCCTAGAGAAATAAGAGCCATCACACGAATAAGTATATGCACACCCATGTTCATTGCAGCACTGTTCACAATAGCAAAAAGATGGAAACAAGCTAGGTGCCCATCAGTGGATGAGTGGATAAACAAATTATGGTATATCCACACAATGGAATATTACACAACGTTAAAGAACAACGATGAAGCCGCGAAACATAACGTGGAGGAATCTGGAGGGCATTATGCTGAGTGAATTTACTTAGTCACAGAAGGACGAATATTGTATAAGACCACTATCATAAGAACTCAAGAAAAAGTTTAAACCCGGAAGAAAACTTTCTTTGATGGTTATGAGTATGGGGAGGGAGAGAGAGGGGTATTCACTAACTAGATAGTAGATAAGAATTATCTTAGGTGAAGGGAAGGACAACACGCAATACAGGGGACTAAACCAAAAGCTAAGAAGTTTCCTGAATACAACCAAACACTTCGAGGGACAGACTAGCAGGGCCGAGGGTCTGGGGACCATGCTTTCAGGGGACATCAAGGTCAATTGGCATAACAAAGTTTATTAAGAAAATGTTCTGCATCCCATTTTGGTGAGTGGCATCTGGGGTCTTAAAAGCCAGCGAGCAGCCATCTAAGATGCATCAATTGGTCCCAACCTACCTGGAGCAAAGGAGAATGAAGAACACCAAAGACATAAGGGAAGTATTAGCCCAAGAAGACAGTAAGGGCCACATAAACCAGAGACTGCATCAGCCTGAGACCAGAAGAACTAGATGATGCCCGGCTACCACCAATGACCGCCCTGACAAGGAATACAACAGAGTCCCTGATGGAGCAGGAGAAAGGTGGGGTGCAGGACTCAAATTCTAGTAAAAAAATGAGACTTAATGGTCTGACTGAGACTGGAGGGACCCCAGAAGACCTGATCCCCAGACTCTCTGTTAGCCCAGAACTGAAACCGTTCCCGAAGCCAACTCTTCAGACATAGATTAGACTGGACTATAAGATATAAGATGATACTTGTGAAGAGTGTGCTTCTTAGTTCAAGTAGATACATAAAACTAAATGGGCAGCTCCTGTCCAGAGGCGAGATGAGAAGGCAAAAAGGGACAGGAGCTGGTTGAATGGACATGGGAAATCAGGGGTGAAAAGGATGAGTGTGCTGTCACATTATAGGGAAAGGAACTAGGGTCACATAATAATGTGTGTACAAATTTTTGTATGAGAAACTAACATGAACTGTAAACTTTCACTTAAAGCACAATTTTTTAAAAAAATGAGTAGGTTTAAGACACCCTATACTGATACGTCTCATTACATAACAAAGGAAACCTTATTCCCAAACAGGATTACTTCCACAGGTATAGGGGTTAAGATTCCAACATCTATTTTGGGGAGACACAATTCAGTCCCTAACAGCAACTACAGTACACTTACAGGTCATCCCAGATTTCTGAATAGCCAGGAGGCCATTAGAAAAAGGGGACCAATCATTAATAGTGATTCCTCCAGGAATAGTACATCCTTCCAACCAGAGCCTGAACACACTAGATGCTCGCAGAACGTTAGCACAAGGAAAGTAGCTTTTATTACTTTCAAAAGAAGCAGACAGCACACAAGAACAAATGTGGATCCATTTTTGAGTGCCCCCTGTGACTAAGGAAGGCTCTCTGGGTGGAGATGACAGCTCTTCCATGCATACCCCACTTTGTACCATACACAAGGGACTTAAAGGGGACCTAGCTTTTGTTGGTCCCCCCGGGCCAGGTAGGCTTAGATAAGTGAGCTGAAAACTTCTGCTATGCGTGCTTCCCCATAGCACCATAGCTGAAGGACACTGAGGTCCCTCATCCAGCTATTTTTATACCCCGAAGAATACATGATGGACTACATGCCACCCCCCATTGTGGGGGCGGGGGCGGGGGGTAAGACACCTCGTGCCAACCCATAAAGGTATCTCTTTAACTCTGCTAACAAACATCAGGCCTCAGAGGGTGGGGGGCAGTGGTTTGTTTGGAGGCCTCATTATGCGCCCTGCCTTCCTGAGGCCTATAGCCAAGGTGATAAGTTGGAAACTCCCAATTCATTAATTGCTCGAGAATTCTAAGGGCTGTTTTCAGAAACCAGAGACAAAAGGCCAAAGCTGGTTTTTTCTTCCACAGCAGCCAAGCTGTTTACACTTCCCAGGGACTCTGAGGGGATAAAGGCAGCATATAAATCCCTCCCCGGTGCAGTGCCAGGGAGGTGTTACCTGTGCTGCACCTGCCTTGGTTGAGGGTGAGATTCTTAAACTGTCTGAACAGTCCTGTGTCCCAGAGCAGTGTGAGGCCCTTCATGATAGTGCAAAAAAGGGAGCAGGTGCCTACAACCCAGCCAGGCCTCTAGGTGTGTGTTTGTGGGAGGGTGTTCTAATCCCTTTGCTTTTTTGCTTCAAGATATCAGACATGTCGTGGTGACACCTAGTAACCAAAATGAAAAAGTCACCGGATGGGCTAAGTAGAAGAAAGTACTGAAATCCTAACTTTCATTTAGGTTCACTTGTCCATACACAGTTCTCTTGCTAGAACACTGAGGGCACAATTTCTACCTGTCCTTTTATGGGAATCTAAAAGCCAACAGTCATGATTTCTAAAGAAGAGCTTTAAACAGGAGCAGATGTTACCTAATCTTTCCCCCTGTGCAGATGTGTTGCTTATTTTTCAGAAGGGGCACACAGGGTGTTGGGGTGCCACCGGGGAACAGTGCTCACAGGCTTTCACTCCCGTTTGTTCCCATAGTAAAGAAAAGTCGTTACCTGGCAGAGCCATGAGGGTCAGGCCCCTAAAGAGGGCTTTCCTGGGGCCTCTCATCACAGATACCTCTGTTGATCAGCTTTTGCTGCAGGAGTGCTGCATAAGAAACAAACACAATTTCGGTGGCATACAGTAACAAGCCTTTAGCTCAGGTGTCTGTGTTGACTGATCATGGTTGGAATTACTGGATGGCGCTGCTGATGTTGGCTGGCTTGCTCACACATCGGGTCAGCTGAGCTAGGCTAGGTGTGGTTGGAGGAGCTCTGCTCCACAGGATTTCACTCCTGGGACCAATGAGTTAGCCTGAACATGTTCCTCTCACGGCACTGTCTTCAGTATAAAGAGGGCAAGGCCAGTTGCACAAGCACGTTTGAAGCCTTTGGCTATGTTTTGTCTGCTAACATCTCATTGGCCAAACGAAGTTACACTGCTAAGCCAGAAGTCAAGGTGTGAGGGTGTGTACTCCACCCGTGGACATGATGAGGGGAGGGACTGAATACTGTTTAAACAAAGGTCTGATCTGCCGTACTTACCAACGTGTAAAACACCAGTGTTGTATCAGGTATACAGAGCCTAGCACATTGTTGTTAGCTGCCATCAAGTTGGCCCCCAATCATGGCAACCCCACGCACAACAGAATGAAACAGTACCCGGTCCTGTACCATCCCCGTGATTGGTTGAGGATCAGAACGTTGTGATTGATTTTCAGTGGTTGATTTTTGGAAGTAGATTGCCAGGCCTTTCGTCCTAGGCCATCTTAGTCTGGGAGCTCCACTGGAACCTGTTCAGCATCATAGCAACACGTAGGCCTCCACTGACAGATGGGTGGTGGGTGCGCGTGAGGTGCATTGGCCAGAAATTGAACCCAGCCTTCCCGCGTGGAAGGCAAGAATTCTGCCACTGAACCATCACTGGCACATAGTAGGAGCTTGTAAAGACTCCAGACAGACTATACCAACACTTCTTCTTTTTCTTTTTCTTTTCTTCTTCTTCAGGCCTTGGCTGGTCCTCAGGTTTTCCATGGGGATGCGTGAAGCCCACCAGGCCTGTGGCACCCCCCAGTAGCCGTCGTCTCACCAGGGCCCCACTGTGGCGTTAGGATGCACCTCTCGGCGGTGCTCAATGCCCTCCTGGTGTCGGTGCTGGCGGCAGTCCTGTGGAAGCATGTGCGGCTGCGCGAGCATGCGTCCACTCTGGAGGAGGAGCTGGCCCTCAGCCGACAGGCCCCCGAGCCAGCCCCAGCGCTGAGGATTGACTACCCGAAGGCACTGCAGATCCTGATGGAGGGCGGCACACACATGGTGTGCACGGGTCGCACGCACACCGACCGCATCTGCCGCTTCAAGTGGCTCTGCTATTCCAATGAGGCCGAGGAGTTCATCTTCTTCCATGGCAACACCTCTGTTATGCTGCCCAACCTGGGCTCACGGCGCTTCCAGCCTGCCCTGCTCGACCTGTCCACTGTGGAAGACCACAATACCCAGTATTTCAATTTTGTGGAGCTGCCTGCCGCCACCCTGCGCTTCATGCCCAAGCCGGTGTTCGTGCCTGACGTGGCCCTCATCGCCAACCGCTTCAACCCTGACAACCTCATGCACGTCTTCCACGACGACCTGCTGCCTCTCTTCTACACCCTGCAGCAGTTCCCCGGCCTGGCCCACGAGGCCCGGCTCTTCTTCATGGAGGGCTGGGGCGAGGGGGCACACTTTGACCTCTACAAGCTTCTCAGCCCCAAGCAGCCGCTCCTGCGGGCACAGCTAAAGACGCTCGGCAGGCTGCTGTGCTTCTCTCATGCTTTTGTGGGCCTCTCCAAGATCACTACCTGGTACCAGTACGGCTTTGTCCAGCCCCAGGGCCCAAAGGCCAACATCCTCATCTCAGGCAATGAGATCCGGCAGTTTGCACGATTCATGAGAGACAAGCTGAATGTGAGCAATACAGGGGCCCCCCTAGGAGAGGAGTACATTCTGGTCTTCAGCCGTACCCAGAACAGACTCATCCTGAATGAGGCAGAGCTACTGCTGGCGCTGGCCCAGGAGTTCCAGATGAAGACAGTGACAGTGTCCCTGGAGGACCATGCCTTTGCAGATGTTGTACGGCTGGTCAGCAGTGCCTCCATGCTGGTCAGCATGCATGGGGCCCAGCTGGTCACCGCCCTCTTCCTGCCCCGGGGGGCGACCGTGGTTGAGCTCTTTCCATATGCAGTCAATCCCGACCACTACACCCCCTATAAGACTCTGGCCATGCTACCCGGTATGGACCTCCAGTACGTAGCCTGGCAGAACACGGTGCCAGAGAACACAGTCACACACCCTGAGCGGCCCTGGGACCAGGGGGGCATCGCCCACCTGGACCGGGCCGAGCAGGCTCGTATCCTACAAAGCCGTGAGGTCCCACGGCATCTCTGTTGCCGAAACCCCGAGTGGCTCTTCAGAATCTACCAGGACACCAAGGTGGACGTCCTGTCCCTCATCCAAACCATTCGGCGTGTGGTGAAGGGCCGGCCTGGGCCACGGAAGCAGAAGTGGACAGTTGGCCTATACCCGGGCAAGGTGCGGGAGGCGCGATGCCAAGCATCAGTGCAGGGCGCCTCTGAGGCCCGCCTTACCGTCTCCTGGCAGATCCCATGGAACCTCAAGTACCTGAAGGTGAGGGAAGTAAAGTATGAGGTGTGGCTCCAGGAGCAGGGAGAGAACACCTACGTGCCTTACATCCTGGCCCTGCAGAACCACACTTTCACTGACAACATCAAGCCCTTCACTACCTACCTGGTGTGGGTCCGCTGCATCTTCAACAAGAACCTCCTGGGACCCTTTGCAGATGTGCTGGTTTGCAGCACGTAGTGAGCGGGCCGTGGCCAGGCCTTGGAAGGGTGGCTCCTCCAGCTCAGTGCTCCTGGGCCCACTAGCCCCACTATGGTGGCTTCTGAGAATTATTTATTTATTTATTGAGACGGCCTGACCCAGGCCTGTGCCTCAGTGTCTTCTTTTGCATCTGGGGTGTGGTGTTCACGGCACTCCTCTTTACACTGGTGAGATGGGACCCTCTGCCATCTTTCTACCCCCCTAAGCATCAATACACCCGCATAAGTTCCTTAGTGGGGAGAGAGAAGAAGGAGAGGAAGAAGCCCAGGGAGCCTCTTTGGCTAAGTGATCATGCTTTTTCCTACTGAGTCCTTCTGGTTGGTATCCAGGTTTCTGGAAACTGAGTAATTAATCATGTGGTATCTCGAGTGGGTGGTTCATCAGCTTCCATCATTATGAAATTCACCTGTAGCCTAGTGGAGGGTGCATTTGGAACATTCATTAAATGGTTATAAACATCTTGGTCAAGTCTTCTTTGGAGGATGGGAAGTCGGCCTGGTAGTCAGTACCCAAACTGAAAAAAAACCAAACCAGTTGCTGTCGAGTCGATTCTGACTCATGGCGACCTCATGTTTCAGAGTAGAACTGAGCTCCATAGGGTTTTCAATGGCTATTACCTTTCGGAAGCGGATCACCAGAATGTTGTTCTAAGGCATCTCTGGGTGGGTTCGAACTGCCCACCTGTCGGTTAGCAGCCAAGCACTTTACCATTTCCACCACCCAAGGATTCCTAGCCAATACCCAAATACCCTTTAATTCTGGTTGACAACCAAGGAGTTGTGACATCAGGTAAGCGTCAAGGACCGTGAAGCAAGGCAGGCTGTTTGGGTTTCATCTTGACAGGCTGGATTAATACCACGTTTCCATCTAAGTGGGAGAGAAGCCTAGAAGTGGAAGTAGGTGGGCGAGGTCTCTGGTGAGGGAGAGCAGTGTCCACCAGGGGCTCTTATGCTCAACTAGACATTCAGACTCGCAAGACCTGATAGGCCACACTTGGCGTCAGATTCACTTAGAAGGATGTAGGACAGGATGCACAGCCTGCCAGCAGGGCAGTGTCAAGCAGTTTTCTTCCACAGGGGGAGTCCTCACATCAGCCCGGGGCCTGTTCTCTTACCCTCTTCCCCCAGATGACTGCTTAAGTGTGCGGTGATGAGATCCACATCAGTAGTTGTGGGAGCTACTTTGGCTTAGAAACCCCGTACCCCACTGAAGACAGTATCTCCTATAACAACCTACAATCAGAGTTCCCAGGGCCGCTCAAGGGACATGCCCTTTTGAGAGTCATAGCGCTCAGGGAAGCCTAAAGCTACGACTTTCTACTGTATCATTCATTGCCCTTCCAGTCCAGACGTAGTTTATCAGTTAGGGTCATTTTTACCATCAACAGGTTGCCTGATACCACACCTGGCATTCAGCCTTTAACTGGCTTCCATGGAAACTGAGCTACAAAGTTAACCCAGATCAAGTTTGTCCTTAGAGATGGAGGAAAGGTTTTAACCTTTTGTTCACTGAGAGACCCTGATGCGGATCTGGCTCCTGTGAAGGAGAGAAGCAGAGAAGGGGGTTAAGTAGTAGAGTTTCAGGCTGTAGAGCAGTTCTAAGTAAGTTTCACCGGGTCAGTCAGGAGTTCTTGAGCCAAAGCCATCTGTTACAGGAGTATCCCCGCTGTGCCTAGTCATTGGTTGAGAGCCTCTGTGGCAAGTGTGGCCGCAGTGCCAATACAGTGGTGGGTTCAAAGCACAGCAGCTGGGGCCATCCTGTTAACATTCTCCACAGCAGGAGCTCTGAGGGGGGCATTTCCACGATCACTCTGCTCCTCCATGACATTCCTTTTATGCGCAGTATCTTGCTCCCTAACTGTAACCTCCACCAGTCACCACAAACTGCCGTGTGAATCCAGACATCAAGACTCAGCTCAAAACCGTAGCTCTCAGACACTGCAGGTTTGGGGGTACAATGGTGCAACCAACGAGAACACCGTTTGGCATTTTCTACTGAATCTGCCATATATCTCAGCAGTTACACATTTAGATACATGCCCAAGGGAATTGCGTGCTTATGTCATTAAAAAGACGTATATAAGAGTGTTCACCGCTTCATTCTTTTTTTATAGTGGTGAAATATATAACAAACATTTGCCATTTCAACCATTTTTACATGTACAATTTGTTGATTAATTACATTCTCCATGTTTGAAGTTTTTTCATCACCCTTAACAGAAACTTGATACCCCTTAAGCAATACCTTCACATTTCCCCCTCCCACCTGACTCTGGGAACCACTAATAAACTTTGAATTGTATGCATTTGCCTATTCTGGATATTTCATATAAGTAGGATCATACAATATTTGTCCTTTTGTGTCTGACTTAGCTTTATTCTTAATAGCCCAAAACTGTAAACAGCCCAAATGTTCATCAACCGATATATTCATACAGTGGACACAACAACAACAAAAAAGAAGGAATTATGGATACATGCAACAATGTGGATGAATCGCAGACATAACGTTAAGTGAGAAGCCTGACCCGAACGAGTACATTCTATCTGATCCCATTTATATACAGACCTAGAAGAGGAAAACATCTATGGTGATAGAAGTCAAAATCATGGTTACTGGGAGGAGGGGTGTATTTCCTAGGGCTGTGATTACAAAGTACCATAAACTGGGTGGCTTAAAATGTTGCTGTTAGGTGCCATGAAATTGGTTCTGATTCATAGTGACCTTATGTACAACAGAACAAAACACTGCCCAACCTGCATCATCCTCACAATCGTTGGTATGTTTGAGCCCATTATTGCAGCCACGGTATTGATCCATCTCGTTGAGGATCCTCCTCTTTTTCACTGACCCTCTACCAAGCATGTCCTTCTCCAGGGACTAGTCCCTCCTGTTAACATGTCCAAAGTACATGAGACAAAGACCATCCTCACTTCTAAGGAGCATTCTGGCTGTACTTTTTCCAAGACACATTTGTTCATTCTTCTGGCAGTCCATGGTATGTATATTCAATATTCATATGAATACTCATACCTCATATTCACTATGAGAAAATACTTCATTCAATATGAGGTATTTTCAATCACGTCGTGTATGCAAAAGCTGGACAATGAATAAGGAAGACCAAAGAACTGATGTGTTTGAATTTTGGTGTTGGCAAAGAATATTGAACATACCATGGGCTTAAAAAAGTACAACATTATTCTCAGAGTTCTGGAGGCTAGAAGTCAGAAATCAAGGTGTTGGCAAAGCCACACTCCTCCAAAGTCTATAGAGGCGACTCCTCCTTTGCCCCTTCCAGCTTCTGGTGGCTCTTGGTGTTCAGGGCTTGGAGCAGCAGAAACTCCAGTCTCTGCCTCCCTCTTCACCTGGCCTTCTTCCCTATGTCTTTGTGTGTCCTTCCTCTTCTTGTAAGGACACCAGCCATTAGATTTAGGGCCCACCCTAATCCAGTATGACCTTATTACATTTGCAAAGACCCTATTTCCAAATAAGGCCACATTCTGGACATGAATGTTTGAAGAACACTATTCAACCCACTGTAAAGACTGGGATGGACACAAGGAAACCTGGGGGGTTGGAAATGTCTTGAGCTGGGTGGTGGTTGCAAGTGAATATCCATGTATATGGTCATCGAGCTTACAGTAATCATCAGTGCATTTTACTTCATGCAGTTGACCATATGTATGTTAAAACCGAAACCTGTTGCCATCAACTCGCTTCCAATCCATAGCGACTGTATATTACACCTTGGTTAAACAGGAAAAACTGATTCACCTCTTCTGGAAAGTCCAGTTTGTGTCTTCTCCAGCTCTGCAGGTAATTAGGACTGCCACACCCACAAGCCTCCAGCTAAGGAGTCCTGTCATCCTCCCAGGAAAGCACTTACCAATCAGACATGCCATCTGACAACCAGCCAGAATGTGTAAAATTGGGCTTCTCTCCAAACATCAGGAACATGTAGCCACCACAGTACACGGCCTCTGATTCCTTCCAGATCTGATGTTCTCTGTTCAAATTAAGCAAATCTGAAATTTTGCTTAACATTATTTATCAAATTTCTGAATCAATCAACGTAGGAAGGAAGGAAGGATGCCGTAGTGGCTGGGAGCAAGGGCTCTGGTATCAGATAGGCCTGGGTTTGAGTCCCAGCTCCACCAGCTCTGTGACCTTGGACAAGTGACTCAGCCTCTCTGAGCTTCAGTTTGCTTATCTGTCAAATGGGAACAATAATGCCTACCTCATGGAGTTGTGAAGATTTGAGATCAGGAAGGTATCTGAAGTTCTCAGCACAGTGCGAGTCCACCAAAAGTGTTCAGGACATGCCAGGTGATGTTCATGGCCCTCCTGGAGGGAGCCACTGCCTCAGACAACCTCAACACTGCCCCCTTTAAGACAACGCAAGAGCAACAGTGTTCCAGGGGAGCGCTCCTCACAGGCAGAGTGGCTGATCCTTCCTACCACGCCCTTTAGAACAACACCTGGGCTCAGCAGCCCCCTCCACCAGCCTGGGGTTTATGTAGCAGCCCCTCCCGGATAAGCTGCAGTCCCTGGTAGCTGCCCCCACTGTGGAGTCACACAAGCCCTTCTCGCTTGAGCTGTGACCCTATTTCCACCCACAGGGGGCAGCATTTCCTACCAGGAATTTCTGCTGGGAGCAGACGTGAGCTTCCTATCCAACTTTCTTCTCTTAAGTGGCTGTGAAATCTAGAGACCCCTCCGGGACCGCCCTGCCACTGTGTGCTGGCAAATGTTTAACAGCCAACTCTCCAAAGAAAATAATTCTGGATTGTAGCATTAGCTGATTTCTGTGGCATAAATACTCCCTCCATGGCCAATTCCAAGCTACCAAGTTGATGTTACTGAATTTCGGTGGCGTTAGGAAGAGATGTGCAGTAGCACACAATTGTGTAGTATTCTCAGCATGCAAATACAGTAGATGTAAGTAACCTCAAAATCATAAAACCCATTGCTGTCGAGTTTATTTCGACTCATAGCGACCCTATAGGACAGAGGAGAACTGCCACATAGGGTTTCCAGGGAGCGCCTGGTGGATTCGAACTGCTAACCTCTTGGTTAGCAGCCGTAGCGCTTACCCACTACACCACCAGGGTTTCCGGTCAAGATCATAGATAATAGTAAAATAATTAGAATGCCGTGAGTGTTGGGTACTCATTACCTTTGTTCTTAATGTCATTTATTTAATTGCAACTTCATATAATTAATTTTTAATGGATGTGTTTAACAGCTTCAGCTCTTGCAAGTCATTATGAGCTGGCTAGTTATCCCAGAGTCCTGCTGGCGCTGTGGTTAAGATCTTGCCTGCTAACGAAAAAGACTGGAAGTTTGAATCCACCAACCGCTCCTTGGAAACCCTATGGGACAGTTCTAGTCTGTTTTATAGGGTCACTATAGGCCGGAACCAACTTGACGGCACCTAACAACAACAACACAGTTA